ACACACACACACACAGATACAGACACACACACAGGGACACACACACATACACACAGACACAGGAACACACACAGACACACACACTCACACACACAGACACACACCTGCACTGGGCTCCTCATCAGATCAGCTGATCTCCATCAAACAGTCAGTGAACAGCTTTAGTCTCATTTAGTCCCAGAAAAAAGACAAAAACTAATAGTCGGTTTCATTAGAAATAACATCGTCCAGTTTTCAGGTCATAAGTCTGAGTTTTCCAGCTGAAATCGTCGAGTTCAGATGGCAAAACAAAACAAAACTCGTCTTATGTATTTAATCAGTTCTTTTTTTTAATGGTTTTGCGGATGGATTTGTTCTTTGATCGGTTAAGAACTGAAACTTTTCTAGTGTTTGATTGAACCCCCCCCCCTTCCCTCTTCCCCATATTCTGTGTGAGTCCCTGACCGTCTCTGAGGGCTGGAGCTGGTTTCCGTCTTTCATGAGGGAAAGTTGAAAGCAGGCTGAAGGGATTATGGCTTCCACATGTTTCAGACTTTTAGACTTCGTCCTTTATCTAAAACACGAGCATCTCCGCGTTTGTTCTGATGAAATCCTTCGGTTTCTGACTCCTCCCTGTTGCCGTGCCAACAAAACTCTAATCTGTTTTCTGCTTCCTTTGCAGGTAAGAAATAAAATAAAAAACGGCTGTCGCCGTGGTAACGACCAGGAGAAGCTGTCAGGCACCGGAGCCCAGAGAGGAACCACCAATAAAGGAGTTTCCCAGAAAAGTTTCTGTGTTATTCCGGGTGATTCCTGCCGGGAGAAGCTGTCCGTAAAGAAAATAAAGGAAGGAGTTCTGCACCGACTTCTGTGTGAATCTGTCAAATCTAAAACCCTCAGACATATTTTTGAAACTTTAAGTAAAACTGGACACCAGCTGGGTAGTTTTTACCTCCTAAAATGCTGTTTGAAGGATTTTTAACGGCTCGTTTCGGTTTTCTTCTGTAGCCGTTCTTTCCTGAAATAAACTAATATGAGAAACTTTCA